TACACATTTAACCCTTTTTTTAAAGAACCTTAGAATTGGGGCTGGAGAGATGGCTCAGCGGTTAAGAGCACTGTCTGCTCCTGCAGAGGACCTGGGTTCTATTCCCAGAACCCACATGACAGCTAACAACAACCATTCCAGGGGATCTAACGCACTCTTCTGACTCCTCAGACACTGCATGACACAGGTGCACTCACACACATGCAGGCAGTACACACATACACGTAATAAAATAAAGATAATAAAAATTTTTTAAATAACCTTAGAGGCTGGGAGTGATGGCATCTGCCTTTAGTCCCAGCACTCGGGAGGCAGAGGCAGGCGGATCTGTGAGTTCGAGCCCAGCCTGGTCTACATAGTGAGTTCCAGGACAGCTGGGGCTACAGGGAGACCCTGTCTCAAAAAAGATGGAAAAAAAAGAACCTTAGAATAAACTCCAGCCCGTTCAATGTTTTTGTGTTTTCTTTTATTTTGTGTGTGTGAGAGATGGGGGGTCGGGCAGAGAGATAACAAGTGCTCACGTGCCACAGCACCGGCACCGTGTAGAGGCCGGAGGCCACTCTTGGAGTCTGTTCTCTTCCACTGTGGGTTCTGGGCAGTGAATTCAGGTCACCACTTGCCGAGCAAGTGCTTTTACCCACCGAACCATCTCATTGCCACCGTCTTCTGTTGCTATGATGGTGGTGATGATGTGTGCGGGCACCACAGTGCACACAGGTAAGAGGACAACTTTGGGGAGTTGTTCTCATCTCCCAGCGTGTGGAGGGGTCTGTGACCTTCTGGTGCTTCCCCACGTGCACTAGGCCAGCTGCCCACAAGCTTCCCGGGCAATTCTGCCTGCACCTCACCCCACATATGCCTGCCACGACGTCTGCCCCTCCCTCCAACAAACACAAACACACATGTGCACACACACACCCCTAACTTTTTACATGGGTTCCAGAAATCAAGCTTAGGCTGTAGGATCTGCATAGTTAGCACTTTAACCTGCGGAGGCACCTGTATCTCCCCAGCCCCATTTTTAAAGTTTTCAATTTATTTATTATGTGTATGAATGTTTTGCCTGCACAAATGTTAAGTGCATCACATGCATGCAGTGTCCTCAGAGGCCAGAATAGGACGTCAGATCCCCTAGAACTACAGTTAAGGATGGTTGTTAGCAGCCATGTGGGTGCTGGGAACTGAACCTGGTCCTCTGCAAGCAGTCAGTGCTCTTAACCGCCGAGTCACCTCTCCCGCCCCCACAGTTTCATTTCTTGAGACAGGGTCTCACTCTGAAGGTCAGGCTGGCCTGGAACTCACTATGTAGACCGGGCTGGCCTCAAACTCACAGAGATCCACCTGCCTCTGCCTCCCAAGTGCTGGAATTAAAGGTGTGTGCCAGGCCTGGCCTTTTTTTTAAATTTCATGTATAGGAATGTATTTCCTGCATGTATGTGAGTTCACCTATGTAGTGCAATGCCAGAGGTCAGAAGAAGGCTTCTGATTCCCATGGAACTGGAGTTAAGGGCAGTTCGTAGCCACCATGTGGGTGCTGGGAATTGAACCCACATTCTCTGCAAGCACAGTCAGTGCTCTTAACCGCGGAGCCACCTCTCCAGTCCCCTTTATTTTATGAGGGTATTGCCTGCATGTAAGTGAGTGCACCCATGTCACATAATGCCTCGGAGGTCAGAAGGGGGCTTTGGATTCCCCTGGACCTGGAGTTAAGGATGGTTTGTAGCTGCCATGTGGGTGCTGGGAATCGAACCTGGGTCCTCTACAAGAGCAGTCAGTGCTCTTAACTGCTGTGCCATCTCTCTAGGCCCCTGGTCTTTTTTTTTTTTTTTAATACACTGTATGAGTACATTGCCTGCATGTGTGTAAGTGCACCCATGTCATGCAATGCCCTCGGAAGTCAGAAGAGGGCATCGGATCCCCTGGAACTGGAGTTGTTAGCCACCATGTGAGTACTGGGGTTCAAACCCTGGCCTTCTGCAAGACCAGCCAGTGCTCTTAACTGCTGAGCCATCTCTCCAGCCACATGATCTTGAATTTTAATCCTGAGACTCACAAGAAACTGTTAATTTCATACCAGCACTGACCAACCCTTCTGTAATATGCAGATACTCTACATCTGTACCAATATCACAACCATTAGGGTTCCCAAGCACTTGACATGAGGCTTAGTCAAGGATTGGAATAACTAAAATTTAAATAGTCACTTGTGCATATGAGCTACCAAACTGGAGCCCTATGCAAATGGCATTTAGACTAAAAAACATATAGGCCTTTGTCACCAACTGAAATTTTGAGAACTATTTTCCTCCTTAAGGTGCATCTTTCAAGAGCAAGGATGAAATGGGCACTGAACTTTAGACTAACAGGGTTGGTGTGAGGGTTCGGCAGGTACTGGTGCTTGCCAGCAAGCCTGGCAACCAACACTGGGATCCACAGGTGGAAGGAGAGAGTTGACGTCCATGGAGACAGACCCAGTTTTTTAACTGCAGGCTTAGCCCTGTTTCTCCTGTCTCCGGCTTTCACAGCTGCTGGGGAAAAAATAGTGTGGCTCTCTCTCCTGGCACATGTGAGCAGCCAAGGCACAAAGGGCAGTCACCAGGGACAACAGCAGCATGTAAGGGCATTATGTTGGCTACTAGGGTACTTAGCCTAATTGGCAAGTGAGCCATTTCCTCTTCTGTGTATGTCCAAACATTGGGAGGATTAAGAGGGAGGCGTGCGCTCTCTCATTTATGTCCATCAGTGACTACGCTTTGCCTGGTGTGGCCCATGTCAAGCTCCTGTCCACCAGCCAAACGGCCCTGGAGAAAGGCAGCCTGACCAGGGATGAGAAAGTCCAGTGTACACCGGGCTAAGCAGGGCTTCACTGAGATGGACAGGACACAGTGGAAGACATGTGGCCTATCTCCATGTCATGTTCATCAGCTTCACAGGTGGTGTTCTGATCTGGGGAAGCACTGTGCAATGGCCATCCCTCCAACCGTTGATCAAGGCCGGGCGGCCGTGAAGACCCAGAGCACACTGAGCATGAAGGTCGATCCCACCCAGGGCTTCTCCAGCAAACGAAGTAGGGACTGCGACAAGTACAGTGCGGTCCACCTTCCTGCACTCTGCACACCAGGAACCTGTCTAGCAGTCTGATGATAATCAACCAGTTTGAGGGGGTCAGGGGCAGGAACTGGTGTGGATGCACTTGTGCCACTGCACATGTGGAGGTAAGACAACTTTCTAGGAACCACTCTCCATTTTGTATGTATGCATACACACATACACACACACACACACACGTGTGCAGATGTAGGCCTTTTAGGAGGTGGTTTTCTCCTTCCACCTTGTAGAGGCAGGGCCCCTTACTGCAGTGCGTACTCCACAATGCCTGGCCTGCAGGTTTCCAGTGGTTTTCCTGCCTGTCTCCCATCATAAGAGTGGTGCATTGCATGCTTGGCACATGTGCAAAGTCACAGTTAAGAATGCTCATGATAGCAAAGCCACATAGGCACTATGCAGACAGGTTCTTAAATATAGTGCTTACATTACATCATGCCTCATTCATACTATTGTGAACATCTGCTCTTAACCTGTAAACAGGCTACATTTTGTGGCAAATAGTTCCCTAAGCCCCTGAAGAGAAGTGTTCTTTGACATGCGGACTTTTGTTCCTGAACACCACTTTGGGAGTTAAGAGACTAGAGTAGAGGCCTTTGTTCTGTGGGAGAGTGCCTCCTGATCCTCTGCTGTTTAAAAAATGTTTATGAGCTTTTGTACATTTCATACAACAGTACTTAATCAAATTTAGACCCTCTCCCTTATCCATGCCCCCTCCCACCCCTGCTGGACCTCATACATTCCACCATACATGAGTCCTATGCAGTCAAGCATTTGTACCCGGATGTCCCACTGGAGCCCAGTCGTCTACCTAGAGTTGTAAGGTCAACTTTGCCTTACCCAGTACTACTGCAGAGCTCTTTCTTAAACAGTGTTTTGTGCCTTGTATGATGTCCCATCATCCCTCTGTGGTCTTCCAGACTTCTACCACCTTGCCAGGCAGGACACAGTAGAGTGGTACCCAAACACAGGGCAGGTCTGCTAAGAGCAGGGAAAGAGAATGAACAGAAAGGACCACAGTGGCAGCGCTCAGTAGAGCCGTACTGGGAAAGAACCAGTCTCAAGAAACTAACATCATATTCAACTGCTTAGATGCATTATAAGCAGTCAGGAGCTTAGACGACCACTGACTAGAAGCCACGGTTCAGCATAACCTGATTCCCAGATGAAGGCACTGTAGACAGGAAAGCTGGGCCAACTAGGAAACTACACTGGCACCATCCGGGGCTGGCTTTTGTGTTTTTTCTGTGTGGAGATTAAACGTGCTAGACACCAACTCGCTTCTAAGGAGACCCGGGTGGCTTGCCTCTGGCTCCTCAGTATCGGACTAGCTCACACCAGACCTGGCCCAGGCGCTCTCCACATCCCAAAGCCCACAGTGCACTTCATAAGGATCCCCCCATTTCAGCCACATCATAGCTGAAGCACAAATATCACACGCTAGATTAAAATGTGCTTATTCTCAGCCCTGTTGCAACTGTGTGCTGTGGGAAAGTTCTACCCACTTATCAAGCAGTGGGTAGAAGGGGGAAAGGGGTCATTTCTTACCAGCTGCTCAGTCTTCAGGACAAACCCAAACTCAGCCCTGCAAAGCCTTCTGCGCTGCTGTCCGCCCTCACCTGGGAGGATAGCGCTGCACTGCTGTCCATTCCGCTTTCTGCTCCTCTTGATGAGGAGAAATTAACCTGATGCGGAACCAGTGAACTGTGGTTTAACTGTCCCGTGTGGCAGGTAAGTGCTAACAAATGTATTTAGCAGGAACCCGTTCTAATACACGCTTGCTGATCTCCGCAGAAGTAACAGGACTTTGGAAATGTCTACTTACACTCAAATCATAAAAGAAAACCTTGCCCTCTGAGATCAGGCTAAGGACAGACAACCACAAAACTAGTCTGTGATCTTATTTACAGTGTTTGCTAAAACAGCTGGACTGTACTGGCATCAACAGGGTTCCTCAGACTGTCACAACCCTTGCCCACACTTGCCAGAAATACCTGCTTTTGTAACAGTTTAAATAGCATGTGATAAAAGGCACATACACATCTATGTTGTCGCAAACCCAATATGGTTACTACCAGAAAGACATGAAAAAATCCTATGAAAACCTGTTATTTCTGGGCCACGAGTCACTTTCTCTGGCTGACCCAAGTGCAGCAAAGGAAAACCAGCGCTTTCTGAAGACAGCTGGAGTCTGCTTGCTGTGCTAAGTCCAGGTTGCTTCCCCCAACGGTGGCTTGCAGCAGCAGGCCTGCCTCTAACCCTCCACCCCCAGGAGCCATTCTGCCCCGACTCTAGGATCCTGAAGGCATCAACCACTGCATCTGGGAAGGTACTTTCTGCCCTCTGAGTTTTGAGCTGGATGTTGGTTCAAGTATTACTGAGGTTGACAAGGAAATTAGACCGAAAGGCAAAGTGGCCAGGCAGAGCAAGGTGGCCCTGGAGCTCCGGCCCAAGGCACCCCCTATCGCACCTAGACTCTCCCAGGAAGTCCTCTGGGTTCCCCTCCTTCCAGGCACTAGTGGACTAGAGAAGCAGCTGGCCAGGGCCTTTTGCTCTACTGTGTCCACCAGAAGCACAGGTGGGCAGGAAGGGGCCAATGGAGTGCCTCACCTCAATCCCTCCTGCTTCCCCAACTCTGGACACCAAGGAAGCCATCCCCCCTCACATACATGGGCATAGATCTGGTTGGCCCTTCAGTAGGGACTGAAGGTCGGTGGTGGCCCCGCTCAAGGTGACACTGAAGCATTCTCTTTGGCAGATGACCCCAGCCTTCACAACAGCTGTGGGCGGTAAATGTCCACTAGGTACGGGGACCCAGAGACTAGACCTGCACCAGGTCGCATACCACCTGGAGGGTCAAGCCTCAGGAGGGAGGTGGCAGCCGGGGAGAAGATGCCCAGCAGGGGAGGGGGCGCAGGGCAGGCGGCTCAGGAGAGGCCAGCGCGCTCCAGGTCCTGGGGCAGCACACGGCCCTTCCTGCGTGCCTTCTGCAGACGCTGCTCAGCCCTGGCCGCCTTCTTCTTGCGCAGGTTCTGGCGCCTCCGGTCCTGCCGCTGCTGCATCTTCTCCACCACATGCTCCGAGCGCTTCTCCCAGCGCCGCTGCCGCTGTGCCCGGCGCTTCTCCTTGCGCTTCAGGGCCTCCTGCAGCAGGTGCTGGTTGTCTCGGATCTTGACGCCCTCCGCCTTGTACAGCAGGTTGGTCCACCTCATCTTGGCCTCCAGTTCCTGGGCCTTGCCCGAGTCCCGCTCTCGCAGCTCCTCCAGGCGGCCCTGCCGAGCCTCCAGGCGCTCCAGCAGCTGCCGGTAGTTCCTGCCGGTCAGCGGCGTCAGGTTCCCCTTCACCTTCTGCCGCTTCTCCTTCCTGCGCTGGGCCCTGCTGGCCGGCTCCTCCTCACTCACCTCCACCTGCAAGGCAGGGGCAATCAGCGCACAGGGACGCCCCAGGCCCCCCCCCCCACCAGGAGCGAGGGGCACCGCCCCCAGTTTCAGGAGCAGCGAGGGGTACACACCCCAGCCATCACCAGCACCCTGACCAACGACCTGGCTTCGTTCATGCAGCCCAGAGATCTCCTTCCCCACAGCCTCTGCTCCCAACTCACCTTATTAAAGATCAGCCCCGGTTCCTGTGGCTCTGTGCAGGCCACTTCTGGGGACGCATCGGCAGCCTTCTCCTCCTCAGCCTTCGCAGCCTGCTCCTTCGCCCTCAGCTCCTTTCGCTTCCTCTTCTTCCGGTCCCGCTCCTGCTTCCTCCTCCGCCTTTTCTCCAGAGTGGCAGCAGAGAGCTCCCTGCTGCTGCCCTAAGGGTAAATGGGGGTTCACACATCAGGCTCCCTCAGCCCCAGGATTGCCCCACCCAGCACATGGCAGAGGTGAGATCAGGGCTGGAGGAATCGAGAGGCGGTCTCTGTGCACGCCACCAGCCCACGGTGTCAGTGTTTCACAACGACATGTCCCATTACCCCAAGGACAGTAACCCCACTAGGATGAGGAACCCCTAGCAAGACCACAGCCTCCAGCTCCTGGGCCGTTCCAGCAGGCCGGGCCACTGTGTTCTGCTCAGGACAGGCCCAGGCTGGGCTCTCCCTGCAGCCCTTCCTGATTCTCAGCCAGCAAAGTGCTCCAGATCGGAATGACCCAGACCTCTACTGCAGGACCAACAGCCTGGAGCTCCTCCTGGGAACCTGGGGACAGCCAGGGACATATCCTGGGATGATGAGAAGGAATTCAAGGCTTAAAAGAAGAGCCTAGGAAAATGGGGTGGGAGGGGAGGCCAGCACCACACAGCAGAGCCAAGGATGGTCAGTCCTCAGGGCTGGGCAGGTCACTTCCCTTCAGGACTTTCAGAGGGAGAGATTTAGGCCACACTCTACCCAGATGGATCAGTGGAGGCAGCTCCTCAAGGAAGCCATACTCCTCTGAGGGACAGAGAAGAGCTGGCTGGAGGCTGGTGACCATGGAGCAACTGTACCTGCTCCCCCAGCAGGAAGGAGCCCCATCCCAAGTCAGCTAGGGAAGTCACTCCACACTTACCTGGCTCCGGGCCTGTTGGATCTTCTCATGCAGCCGCTGTCGCAGAAAATCCAGAGCAAAGACAGAGTCAGGCCCTGTGGCCTGGCCATCTGCAAGGAAGGAGACTGGACTGAAAACAACACCCTCCAGCTCATCCTTCTCCTCCCAGGACCCAGCACCTAAGCCTCAGCCTTGAGTGCTGTCCTCCCTGTAACCTGGGGCCACTCATGGATTAATAGGCTACTTTCAACTTGGACTGGTCCCTACAACCTCCTCTAAGACAGGTACTAGTGGACTGCTCTGCAAGGTTGGTCACTGTGCTGTAAGAAAACAGCACCGAGTTGCTCCAGGTCCTCAGGGACCTTTGCCACCTGGTTGCCACGGGGCATGGGGTCACTATGGGCTTCTTTTCTTTTTCTTGAGTATTTTATTTTATGTGTATGAGAGTATTGCCTGCATGTGTGTAAGTGCCCCCGAGTTGTGCAATGCCTGTGGAGGTCAGAAGAGGGCGTTAGATCCCCTGGAACTGGAGTTACAGGTGGTTGTTAGCTGCCATGTGGGTGCTGGGAACTGAACCCCAGTCCTCTACAAGAGTAGCCACTGCTCTTAACCGCTGAGCCATCTCTCCAGCCCTCACGCCCACTGCACGCCTGTGATCTTCGCTCTATGGGGAGTCCTGTAGCATCTCACATGCATGCTGGTCCTTGGCATGAGCAGAGAGGACTGCACTTACATCTGAGACCCATCCCAGCCCTGCCCCTGCACATCCTGGAGACCCCCCGACACACACCTGCAGGGGATTCTGTGGAGCTGGAAGCCTCCTCCTGTTTGGCTGCTGCTGGCTTCTTGGTCCCAGAAGTAAGGGGTGATTTCTTCCCCAGGGCCTTGGTCTTGTGCTCTGCAGCCCCCTGCTTCCGCTCCCTGGCTTTCTTTTGTGCTTTTTTCCCTTTCTTTTTGGGGGGTTCTGAGGCTTCAGAGCCTTTTGTCTTGACAGCTGAAACGCAACACGACAAAAAGCTACACCCCCATCCCTCTGACCCACTCAACAGAAAGGTCTTGCAAGGCACGGATCCCGCAGGGAGGCAAAGAATTGGGGGTGGAGAAGCCAGTGACGCCTTTCCACGGAGTTCAGAGCCAGAAAAGGTCTGGGCAGCAGACCAGCCACACGTTCTAAACACGAAATAAAAGCCGGCGTGGGACTCGTGGGTAACGCCGTTTCACTAAGCGAAAGACACAGGAACAAAGCAACCCGGGCGGCCACCAGGCGGAGAACGCGGGTTTCCACTCTCAAAACAGTGAGGCCGGTTGTGTTTACGGCTGCGCGTCCCTCCCCAGCCCCACTCCATCAGGGCCCAGCGCGTGGGAGCCCCAGCCGCGGGTGGCCGGTTTCTGTCCGATGCAGGGGCACCGGTCCTCGCAGTCGGACGTCCACCCAGACGGGTTCCGGGAGCTACTTGGGCTGGGAGACCCCGTGGACTCGGAGACCCCCCCCACCCGCCATGGACTCCGGGACCCCGTGGACTTGGGGATCCTATAGGTCTCGGGACCCCTAAAGCGGAAGTGCTCCGCTGCCCGCCCAGCCCGCCTCACCGCGCTCCCGCCTTGGCCGCTCCGGTCCGGGCCGCGCGCAGATCCGGCTGGCCAGGTCCTGCAGGTAGGCGTCCTTGGCGCGCAGAGACGCCATGGCTGGAGGTTCCGACGTCGCTCGGGCCCCTGAAGCTCCGCGTGAGCGGACGCGGCGAGCGGAGCGCTCGATTAGCCAGGCCTGACCGCGCCGGAAGTTACCGCATAGGAACACGCTAATACTCGGAGCTCGTTTAATCTAATCTGGCGACACCGGAAGCTACTGAGTACAGCGGCCGCCACCAACCCGGCGCTCGATTAGCCAGGCCTGGCGCGTGAGCGGAAGTTTCCGAGTAAAGGGGATCCTGGAGCTGACAGCGCGCCGGAACCTGAGCCTCAGGACCCCGACCGTGTCCTCTGGGCCTCCCCAGCCGGGCCTGCACGGACGCTCAGCACCCCATTCCCGCCTCACCACCGCGCCCTGTCCTGCTGGGCTCAGACAGCTCACAGGTGCCATGGTAAATAGGTGTAAAGAGGTGGTGTGTGAATCAGCAGGGGTGGCGTGGACCCCGGGAGGCTGCAGCGACCTCCGGTGATGAGCTTGGTCCTGGGTCTTGAGGCAGTGTCCAGCCCACACTGGTTCAGATGGCTCGTATAGAGAACATATAAGCAGAGGACGAGTCCCCTGGGGGCCCACACTGGGTATTTAGGGGTCGGTTTGCAGACGGTTCAGATGGCTCGTATAGAGAACATATAAGCAGAGGACGAGTCCCCTGGGGCGCTATCTGGGCTTTCCTTACGCTACTCGAAGCTTTTCCGTCTGTTCCAGCGTCCCCAGCTCAGGCTTTGGTACGGTCAAGCATCACATAAATCCTGACACCGGTTTCAGAGAACTGGCTCCTCAGGCACCGTACAAACAAGTCGCTGGCTCTACTTTAAAGCTTTTTCATTAGTTTTGGGAAACCCAAAGGCACACCACTGCTGCTTGTGTTCCCCACTCCCGCATCCAGGGAGCTAAGCTTTCTTCCTCGGTGCGCCCCTTCACACTCTTCACGCAATTAAAATACTGCGGAATGGGGCTGGAGAGAACGGCTCAGTGGTTAAGAATACTGGCTGTTCTTGCAGATGACCCAAGTTCGGTTCCCAGCATCCACATGGCAGCTAACAACCATCCGTTAATTCCAGGGGATCCAACACCTTCGTTCTGACTTCCGTGGACATTGGGCAAAACGGGTACACTTACATCCATGCAGGCAATACACTCACACATAATGTTTAAAATAATGCAGACTTCCTCGTTAATGGAAAAAATCTCTCTCCCAGAAAGGTGACTTGGGGCCACCCCAGGTTCTGCTTGGCCATGCAGGTCCTAGGCTACCCTGTGTTCTTCCTGGTCCCCAAAGGCTTCCTTCATCCAAAGGAGATGAAGTGTTGCCCAGCACCATGGTTCCTGCATGTCAGTGGTCAACCTGGTACCGAACAGTACTGCAGCGAGTTCCCAGGGCCCAAGTACTGTCTCAGCCGCTTCCCGGCCTGTGGCCCTTGTGCCCACACCTAAGATGCAGACATGACAGGACTAAGCTGGGATGGTAGAACTGGGAGGCAGCAGATACACTGCTGCCCCAGCCACATTACAGATAGGACAGATTTCTCATTCATTCACCCCAATGCCAAGGACCCACGGAATGGATGCCTGGAAGAAAAGGGCTGCTGCTCAAGGAACCCAAGGCTGGTCTGGAACTAAGGAAGAAGGTGAAAACACAAAACGGTGATTTTTATTCAACATTCTTGTTACAAAAGTAGACTGAAATGGCAGCAGAATCCAGGACAAAGCACCCGGCTGGCTTCACACAGCTTTGCCAGGGCAGACAATTGTGCTCTGGGCACAAGGCACAGGAGCCCTGGCCTAGGGAGGTTGTCTGGGCTTGGCCACCACAGCCACTGAGCGCCTCCCAATTCTAAACCAAGGCTGTCTTCCCTGCACCAGCCACTCATCTATTCCACAAGCTTCCTACCACCTGGCAGTCAGGAAGGTAAGGCAGCTGCTAGAGATGAGGGCATCCTGGAAATGACTGCAATAGTGCCCCCAACTACATGGGGAACTGGTCCTGGAGTCCCCAGATGAAGGCTGAAAGAAGCAGGGCTGTGGTGGGCACCTAGAGGGGAGCCCAGAACTTCCTTTCTGATAAACTAGGGACCTGGGGAGGGCAGTCCTGAGAGGGCAGCCCCAAGAGGATCAGGTGTGCTCCGTAGGGCCAGGGCCACCAGCATGGGAGTGGGCAGAGGCTGCAGACTGCAGGGGACCAGCACCGGGCTCCGGGGATGCCAGCAGAGGGGCCGAGAGGCCATCAGCAGAATCTGTGTCGGGGTCCAGCCTCCAGTAAGCTTCGCACAGAGGCTGGTCATTAGCTTCGCAGAGACTCGAGCTTTGCCACCACCAGAAACCCCCAGGAGTGACAGGAGCAGGCAGAGGGAAGCCAGGGAAGGGAAAGCAAGACAGATGCAGAGTTAAGAAACGACCACCGCCCAAATGCCTCCCCTTCCTCTCCTCTGCGCTAGCCCCTCTGCCAAGCAGGTCTGGCCACCCTCGCATCCAAAGGGAGAAAAGCACCCACAGGCCGTGACTTTATCAGGCCCTCTCCCAGGGGCCACACTGGTGTCCTTTCTGCACAGCTGACACGTGGGACTCTCCTGGTTCCTGCTGAACTTCCTCCCTCCCTCAACACCCACTGCTCACCAGCCAGCGTGGTGATAAGACTCTACAGAGCCCTTGGTGGCAGAGATCCCATGTCTGTCTGCCAAGTACTTGGCCTAAAACATAACAGGAACACAGGCCCTGGCACTTCCCTGCACGCTACCTCTCCAGTCCTATGGGCCCCTGGGCTCTGAGCACTTGGCTTCCCATGTCACACAGGGAAGACCAAAGGTAGGGGGAAGCAAGGACTGCCTCATCAAGTCAGGGCAGTGGTGACCCAGAGCACGTCTGTTCCCACCTGGTCTAATGTGCACCAGGAGGCCCTGGCTGTCTACACCCGCCCTTGGCGGCCCATCTCAGAACCACCCATGGCACAGAGTGGCATCTCCAGGAGAGTAGAGGGGAGGCAGAGCCAGAAGGAGCAAGCAGTGAGCAGGCAGCACAGGCAGGAGCAGCATGTGGTGGGAAGGCAGGTGGTATAGGCACAAGGCAGATGGAGCAGACAAAACCCACTGGCCCTGGTCAGAAGAGCCCTGCACTGCAGGTGACCCAGAGGCAGAGGGACAACTACTTTTCCATGAGGGCTCTGGGGGAGTAGACACAGCCTGGCCCAGAAACCCCCCCCCCAAGTGATGCAAGACAGATTGACTGAAGAGGACTTTGGGAGCCTAGCGCTCAGGGTCCCTGGCTTCCAGTCTTGGCTCTCACATCCCCTCCTCCCTCTGGCCCTCAACCTGAGGCAGGGCTAGGTCACTGTCCCAAGGCTGATCCAGGCAGGGGCCCTTGAGACAGCAGCTGCCTGATGTAAAGGAGCTCACCCTGAGATGCCCCCACCTGACTGCTAAGTTGATGGGTATCAGAGACCAAAAATAGTCTCAGAACCCACTGGAAAACTCTAGAACTGCTCTAGCAGTGACCCTGAGTCTAGGATGAGACAACCAAGTTGCAGACCATACAATACAGCAACTCTGGACATCTGTGCTTCCACAGGAGGGAAAGAGTAGCAAACCTACCACAGGAGGGAGGTTGTCTGGGAGAGAGCACAAGGTGGCTGGGACCCTGGCTGTGGACAGAACCGTAACTTCCCCAGCTAACGGGGTGAGGTGCAAAGCCTCCATTCTCCAGCCTCAGTTCCCCCACATAAACCATAGTAGACTATGACTTCTTGGGTCTCTCCAGCTCAGTCTTAGGTTTCAAGATTCTAAGTGCCCTGTGAAGGCTGGGCGACTGGTCCTGCCCACAGCTCTTTCCTGGAGCCAGAACAGGCCTGACACCAGGAGGCTCCAATTCCGTGAAAGGCTGGCCGACCAGGAAGCAGATCTCCACGTATCCAGGCTGGCTTTTCAAGGTCACTTCGCTTGGGCCCCTTTCTCCTCCTCCCAGGGTTCCCTGCCTCCAGGCTGTGGAATCTGAGGACACTCACATGGAACTGTTCTCTGGGCAAGGAGTGGGCAGTGGTATCCAGGACAGGGGACATAGGCAGGGGCCTGGGGGCTGCAGGGGGGCCAATCCAGCCTTGGCTAAAATGATGTCTAAATGGAGATCCAAGAGCAGCGAGCCGGAGACTGAGGGGCCAGGAGGGCTCCCCACCCCCTAGGGGATGCCCTTCTCCAGCCTCAGCCTCCCAACACCAAGTCCTGTGAGGTTCACCCCTCAGCACTGAGGGGAAGGGCTGGGGCCCTGGCAGATGGTTGGCTGTGACTGTCCATCAATCGCTCTAGCCAGGGGCTCAGGTCTGGAACCCAGGCACCAGCTCTGCTGCCAAGGCCAGGAAGGGTTTGGAAAAACACAAGGCCCTGGCCAGGCCCAGGTGGGCAGGCACTGCCCTGCAAGGGAGTCCGGCCCTATTTGTACCTGGACGAGTAGAACTCCTCCTCCAGCTCATACAGGTCGATGGAGACCTCATCCCGCAGGGTGATGAGCTTGCGGTCACATTCCTCCTGCAAGGCACGCAACTGCTGGTTACGCTGGTCAATGGCTTCATTCACAGACGGGAAGTCGTTGAGTATCAGGAACTGCTTGAGGTCAGACACCAGCTTCATCAGTGACTCCCCCGCTCGGACCTGCCACCATTGTAAACAGGGTAAGCATGAGGAGGCGGGGGCAGTGGTCGGACCTGCCACCGTCATAAACAGGGTAGGCATGAGGAGGCGGGGGCAGTGGCCTCTCTGGGAGCCTCTTCTTGCTGGCCTGCATAGAGGAAGTATTGGCCTGCCCAGAGCCGTCTGTGAGGACATAGAAGAGGAGCCAGGGAGGCAGGATTGGCACCCACAGGGACCAGAGGAGGGCACGCTTGCTCAACCTATACACTAAATTTAGATCCTACAGAGAAAGACAGTGTCCCAGGTTGCCATCTGCCTCATTCTTTCCTGGAGGCAGCAGAGGTGCAGCTGGGCGGTTTCTTGGGGTCCTTTCCCTCTGCATTATCATCTGTCAGTACTCACTGCATGGACACTGACCTGCTGGGCCTTCCCCGTGACATCTGGAGAGTTCACATAACTCACTCAGTGATTTGTCTTTCCATTCACAACCAGCACTGGGGAACCTTTGTGTCAGCAAGGGCTGCCTTCCTCCTCACCACCACACAGCCACAGGATGGACCAGGCAACTGTCTGCCTGGGTCTCCTTCCAGTGCTTACTGGGAGACAATTCCTGTTCTCAAAGGTTGCCAAGGGGTGGAAGCATGCTTCTCTGTGGTTTTCCTTTGGGGCTTGAGTAGGAGGAAGGGCAGAAGACCTGGACTCCGCCCGTGACCCCAGCAGGGGTGTCCTCTACCGTGGCTACTCACAATGTTAGCTGCTCGCACATGCATCTCGTAATTGTCCTGTTCACCCTGAGTGGCCCGAGACACCTGTGTCTCATCCTCAATCTGTAGGCAGAAAAGAAAGCCTGGAATCAGCCCAGCTAGTCAGAGTGCCCACCACTGGCTCAGCCCAGCCCACGGGAACAGTCCAAAGGAACAGCCCAGATACCTGCCTCCCCATCACATTATCCCATCAGCCTTGATAGACCCAGGACCCTACTTCCTAGACAGCTAGAATGTCCACTCCTACCCTCTCTTGTTCTGTGGGCAACAATAACCACCTTCATCAGGACAAAAGGATAGTGCGCTGATCGCTATGCTGGGTGGAGGGGTCCTAGGTTGACCAAGTCTTTTTGAGGGTATTTACACTCAGTGTTGAATAAAGGAGTGAAAAGAGGAAGTGTGTTTTTGTTTTGTCTTTAATACAGCGGATTGGGCCAGGCATGGTGGTGCACACCTTTAATCCCAACACTGGGAAGTAGAGACAGGTGGATCTCTGTGAGTTCAAGGCCAGCTGAGGCTACAAGGGAGACCCTGTCTCACAAAAACCAAAAAAATAAAAAAAAAAGACAGGGTCTTTTTTTTTCTTTCCCCCAAAGATTTACTTTTTTCTTCTGTGTTTTTGAGACAGGGTCTCACTGTGTAGCCAGCCCTGGCTGGCCTTGAACTTAAGAGACTTGCCTGCCTCTGCCTCCCACCACTGGGACTAAAGACCTGCACCACAGTCTGCACCCCAGGAAGTATCTTTTCTAAGTGACCTCCTGAGTGCTACCCACCATGCTGAGTACTGATGGCACATAGTGTTTGTAGATACCCTGCAGAGTGACTCGGGCTGCTCCTCAGGGGCTGTGTTTTATGCCTCCTCAAAGCTTTTATTGGGAAGCTTATTGTTGGGAAGTTCAAGTTTACATACGATAAATGCTCAAGAAGTGCAAAACACATAGGTATTTTCCCATAACAGTAAGAAAGCAGTATGGCACACCCAGGGTGACTGGCCCAGGAACAGGGAGGGGCAGACAGCAGGTCCAGCAACAGCAGTTTAAAGGGTCTAGGCACATCATCAGCAAAGCCCAAAGAACCCTGTTAACTCAGTGAGCCAAGTGTCAAGAAGCCTGTTAACCATTAGTGAAACAGAGCGATATGGTCCCTTAAGGGACAAGGGGGGAGGTCACGCCTGCTGTCCCTAGCTTACAGATGGGACAGCTAGAGAATGACACAGACCTCCAAGGACTCATGGTGTCTCACAAATAAACAGTGGCCCTAGGAGCCCAGCCCGGCATCCAGGCTACCAACCCACGGACTTCTAACAGGATCCTGCAAGGAAAGGGGCATAAGGGTGGAGGTTGGGACACTAAGTACCAGACTTCCCGGGTTCAAATCCTGACTCTTGCCAGTTACGAGCCGGGTGACTCTGGGCAAATTATTCAGTCTTCTAGACCTGTTTCGGCCTCTGGATATGGAAAGGACAATGGAACCTGCCTTATGGTGTTCTTGGGAAGATTAAACAAAACAGCACCAACAGTTGGCAGAAGACTAGCTTGCCACACGGCCAGCATTAAGTGCAAGCTGGGGCCCACCACTGCTGCTGGCAGCCAACTCTGCAGCAGTTCGGCCCACACTGACCACCGAGTATCTCCTCAGCTGCCAACCTGCCTACCCCATTTCTTTCAGTCACACTCCCAGAGCCACTAGCCTTGGGTCACTCCCTCTGTACCAGCCCCTGCACTAGCTTTCTTCACGGATAAACTCAGCAGACGTCACAAGGACCTGGGTGGCACTGAAGAGCAAAGGCTCCATCAAGCCAGGTGAGGGTGACTCCTGCCTGGACCTGGAGTCCCCTACTGTGCCCTGGTTTGTCGTTATTTGGTTTCTTAAAGTATTTTATGTGTGTGAGTGTAAAGTCTGCATGTAGGTGGGTACAGTGCCCACTCAGGACAGAAGAGGGCTTCGGATCACCTGAACTGGAGTTACAAATGGTTGTTAGCCTCCGTGTGGGTGCTGGGAATTGAACCCTGGTCCTCTGCAAGAGCTGACAGTGCTCTTATGCTGCTGAGCCATATCTCCTGCCCCCGTTATTTGGTTTATTGACTTACCTGCCGAACTGTTACTGTAGACACCCCACCCTCACCAGGCAGGTCTATCATGTCCCTCTGCAGCCCCACCCCTGGAGAGGAGTCCAGAACTGGTACCAGGATGCTGGGGAAAAGTCATGGACCAAGCCTCTCCCGAGTCTCTGCAGGCGGCGCCCACGCACCTTGGCAGTCTTGATTATCTCGGTAAAATTGTCCATGATGGACTTGATGTCGTCCTTGAGCCGCTTGTTGTACGACTGCAGCAGCGTCTCCTTGCTCTGAGGCAAGGCTCTCTGCTGGGCCATGGCGGGCCTCGGGGTGCACCGGGTGCACGGAGTGCTGGTGGGCCCCGGACTGCGCGGGGTGCACTGGGAGCACGGGGTGCACCAGGTGCACGGAGAGCTGGGTGGGCGCACGGAGAGCTGGTGGGCCCCGGACTGCGCGGGGTGCACTGGGAACACGGGGTGCACCAGGTGCACGGGGAGCTGGTGGGCCCCGGGCGGCACCGGGAGCCGAAGAGCACGGCGACCTGGGTGGCGCAGGACAGCCCGGGGTGCACCGGGTACCGACCTGACCTCACCACGGTCGGGCGCCCCGGAGCAGAGCAGACGGATCCTCTTGAGCCACTTCTACTGCCTCCGTCAATCTACGCCCCGCCCGACACCTCGGCCTGTGCTGCGGGGTCCCGGGGCTCCCACTCCCCTTCCCCGGGCCAGTGCACCCGCACACCAGCTCAGCCTCGCCACACATGCGCAGAGCACGCAGAGAGAATCGAGCGTCGAGCGCCTGGAGCGGCTCCGATCCCGCCGTCCTGTTTGAAGTAGTCCTGTCCCTTTAAATCTGAAATCTCGCGCAGGCGCCAGCTCTCGCGTTATCCACGGCCGCATACATATTACCCACAATTCCCTTTTCTTTCTCTCTCCTCCAGCCGAGCAAGATGGTGAGTAGGTCTGGCGCGCCTGGCCGTCGTGGTCCATCCGCCGCCATCCGCCGCTGCGCGGGATCCCGGGCCGCACAAGGCACCGCGAGAAGAGCCGTTAGGGGTGCCCGGGCTCTGATGGCCCCGGCGCCTTGCGCACGTCCCGGTCCGGGGCCGCGGTATCGGGTCTCTGCTCGTGCGGAGGACCTGGCGGTCCTGTCGTAGGGATGTCGAGGAGGACTCGCACGCACCGAGATCGCGGATGCGCGAGCAGGACCGCCCTGGCCCCCGGCGAGCAGAGGCTGCGCACGGCCTAACCGGCCCTTTCCTCCTTTCTGCGCAGCCGAAAGGAAAGAAGGCCAAGGGGAAGAAGGTGGCCCCGGCCCCCGCCGTGGTGAAGAAGCAGGAGGCTAAGAAGGTGGTGAATCCGCTGTTCGAGAAGAGGCCCAAGAACTTCGGCATCGGTGAGGAGCGGGGGGTTGGGACGCGTCACGTGTCGTGGCAGGCGGGGTTCGGGGACCCCCTGGCGCCCTGGCGGGTGCTCACCGACAACCCCGGCGGCTCGCGTGCAGATGATGTCAAAGAATATTTGCTATCAGAAAGATGGTGATGACGCTTAGCCACCAAGATCGCTGATGCACCGACGCCCTTGCGAGCGCCCTGGGGCGGCCTGACACCGAGGTGAAGCCGCCCCTGTGTCGCCCTGTGCTTCTCAGGCCAGGACATCCAGCCCAAGAGAGACCTCACCCGCTTCGTCAAATGGCCCCGCTACATCCGGCTGCAGCGACAAAGGGCTATCCTCTACAAGCGGCTGAAAGTGCCCCCTGCCATCAACCAGTTCACCCAGGCCCTGGACCGGCAGACGGGTGAGGGCCTCTTGGAGAGGCCAGGGAGGAGGAGGGCGCGGGTGTCCTGGGGCTTCCTTACCTGGTTCAGGCTCCACCATCATTACATTAGAACGGGAAGGATGCGGCGGGGAGATGCCTCAGGTGCAGGGAGAGACCCTGTCCCAGGAAGTCGGGGTGAACGCGCCCCTTATGCGCTGCACCACGTGCCTTCCTTTTTTTGGAGGTAGGGTTTTCTGTACCCCAGCTGGGCTGGAACTCGGTATATGGACCAAGCTGGCCTTGATCCCACAAAGCTCTGTCTCCTGACTGCTGAGATCGAAGGTGTGCACCACCATGCCTGGCCTTAGATTTTTAAAGGGGGCTGGGGAGGTGGGTCAGCAGTTAAAGAGCACTGACTGCTCATGCAAAGGACCCGGGTTTAATCTGCAGCACCCACATGGTGGCTACGAACCATCCATAACTCCAGTTACAGAGGAATCCCAAGCCCTCTTCTGACCGCGGCGGCACTGCACGACATGGGTGGACTCACATGCAGGCAATACACTCATACACATAAAAATATTTTTTTTTAAAAAGTTGAACAGGATTGGGGGATTTAGCATTTATATCTTGTTAAATGGTAAAGTCAGAAGGGAGGCTGGGGAACCTGAGCCGTGAAGTGGGACCTCAAAACTGCAAAGCTTACAGGGCATGGTGGCATATGCCTTTAATCCCAGCACTCGGGAGGCAGAGGCAGGCTGAGCTCTGAGTTCCGGGCCAGCTAGGGCTACAGGGAGACCCTGTCTCACAAAGACCAAAAAAAAAAAGGGCAAAGCTTAAGCCTGGAGTCTGACAGAGACCCTTCCCCAGCCACCCAGCTGCTTAAGCTCGCACACAAGTACCGGCCCGAGACAAAGCAGGAGAAGAAGCAGAGGCTGCTGGCCCGAGCTGAGAAGAAGGCTGCTGGCAAAGGGGATGTCCCCACCAAGAGACCCCCTGTGCTTCGAGCAGGTGGGTGTGTGCCCGTGGCCCCCACCCCCGTGGGCGTGAGTACTGTGGGGCTGTGCAATGATGCAACAATTTCTTCACCTGAAATCGCTGTGAAGAGCAAAATCGAGCTTTTTAACACTGAGTCACAGCTCAGTACGGCTGCTTTTCATGGCTGTAGTGGCCTGAGAATGCTCACACAGTGGTTGTGTTCCAGGGGTCAACACCATCACCACCTTGGTGGAGAACAAGAAAGCTCAGCTAGTGGTGATCGCACATGACGTGGACCCCATTGAGGTGGGTCTGGCATGGATTCTGGGACGTCATCTTTTAGGATAGCACCCATGAGGGATACTTGAGGCTTGTGCAGTGATGGGCTTTGAAGTGCACTTAAGAGCTTTTTGACCCTGAGCAGTTGCCATCAAGCTCCCTCTGCAGCGGCTGCTTCTGGCCAAAATGCTCTCCAGCTGATGACACTCTCTTGCAGCTGGTGGTCTTCCTGCCCGCCCTGTGTCGCAAGATGGGGGTCCCCTACTGCATCATCAAGGGGAAGGCCAGGCTGGGGCGGCTGGTCCACAGGAAGACATGCACCACTGTGGCCTTCACGCAGGTCAACTCGTAAGTGTGGGTCCCGCCCCGGGTTCCCTACCCCACCAAGCCCTGGCCTCCCACACCTGTGCCTGTGATGGTTAAGAATTTCTTCACCTGAATAAGTAAGCCATGTGGTCATACTGCATCTGAGGCAAAAAGGCCTGTTTGGAGCCACAAATGAAGTGATTCCTGCTTCCATTTGTGACACCTCCCTAACCCTTCCCTTCCTCAGGGAAGACAAAGGTGCTCTGGCCAAGCTGGTGGAAGCCATCAGGACCAATTACAATGACAGATACGATGAGGTAAGCAGCTCACCCAGCAGTGTCTCAAGTCTTTTTCAAGGTCTGCCTGGTCTTTTTTTTTTTTTGAGACAGGGTCTCTCTGTAGGCCCAGCTGGCCTGGAACTCACTTTGTAGACCAGGCTGGCTTTTTTTTTTAATTGATGGTCTTTAACTGGGCAAATAAATGTATCTGGCAATATCCTTGGAAGGGCCAGGTAGGATGGTGTTTTGAACACTGGAAGGGTGGTAGGTCAAGTTGATTGCTGTTCTGTCTTTCAGATTCGGCGTCACTGGGGAGGCAACGTCTTGGGTCCAAAATCTGTGGCTCGCATTGCCAAGTTGGAAAAGGCAAAGGCCAAAGAACTCGCCACCAAACTGGGTTAAATGTACACTGCTGTTTTCTGTACATAATATAATTAAAGAATTACCCTTTATCTGGTGTCGGGTACTCATTGTGGCTCCAAGGCAGACATTAAAAAACAGGGTGATTGGTTGGTGCTCCCTGTAAAATACTTTGGGAACAAACCAAGCTTAAGTCTGGTGATCAAGGACTTTATTTTATATATATATAGTATACAATCTAGTAAAGCCATCCTTAAAATTGTGCATGCTTGGGGACCTCAGTTATCAGGAACCAGTTCCTAACTTCACATACCAGGTATCCGCCGCACAAATTTCTGAAACCACAGGTACGATGTGGCTGCACACAGCCCATACCTATGGTTAAAGGAAGGGTTAGGCTCTGCTGGGGGGGGTGGGGGTGTTTAGGGGAAGTGTGATGAGGGACAGGGACACTTACCAGGTAAGGATGTACTGCATGTGCTCATTCCGCAGAGTAACTCGGGTCTGCCCTCCAATGGGTCCTCCAGGGACTGTGCTCCCTGCAGGGACAGTGGGCTTATGTTCCCCTGTGCTGTTGAGACCCTTTTGCATGGCCAGACTCAAGTCACTCCTATCAGGCCCTTGCCTGGAGCCACCACTCCTGGTGCCCCTCTTGAACCAGGTCCACCCAGCTGCCCCACATACCACATGCTAGGCAGGATAAGAGGGGTGGGGAGAAGGACCTACGGAAATCTGCGTCAAGGAAAATGGGCTCTGCGCCTGCCATCTTGGCCATGGCCTCCAGGTCCCGATAATACCAGTGGTTCTGTTCTGGACTGTTGTCAGGGACAAAGGGCTTCCTGGTCTCTGTCAGCCTCACTACCCCAACCAGGTCCACTTCTCCCAGGACCTACAAGGGAAGGTGAGCTAGTCCTGCAGGTGCTGTCCAACTCCTGCACAGCTCTCCCAAGACAGCAAAGCCGACTCACCTGGCCCTTTGGCCGGGTCTCCGGATTCACTTTACTCTTGGGGACAAACCCTCTGTTTACCAGGATGGTGACTCTAGAGCAACAGACACTTGCTTCAGGTAGGGAAAAGTTTCCACATAAAGGTCTTTAATGGACTGCCACCACTATTAGTTGGTATCAGTGGTTTGGGCTTTTTGTAGTGTGAATCCAGTCCAGCAGTTTGCTGGGCCTAAGCAACTTCCCTTTTAGAGCTCAACAATACAAAGCCTAGTCATGAACTGGCCATGAAAGTTGCTTAATGTCAGAATCGAGATCCAGTGCTTTCTGGGTCTCCTGGATTCCCAAAGGTCTGACAATTGGGATACCCTGAGCACACCTGCAAGGCAGCAGTGGCCTCAAATGTTCTACTCACCCGAGGCCAGAGCAGTGGAAGGGGGTGATGACATAGGCCCCAGTCTCCGTCGAGGAGGAGATTCTGCCGGCCTCTCGGGCCTCTCGGGCAGGGTCCACCATGGTTCTAGGCATCATGTACAACTCCTTGGAGTGGTCAAAGTGCCCCCGGACTTTCACTGGTCTGTACTCCAGATTTTTCAGTTCCATTGGGCTACAAGGAGGGGAGAGGAACAGTGGGCAAGCCAGGGTTGCCAGAAGAAACCCTCCAGGGCTTGATACTACCAAGCTCACCAGGCCAGACCAATGTAGAAAGGTAAAGGCGGACCATCACATTGCAGGTGCCCTCAGTGGGCGGCCTCAGCAGAGTCCAGTGTTTAGAAGCAGAAAGTGTGGACTTCTGTATAGTTAACTTTACACAAAATGCAACCCAAGTACAGCCCACTGTTCTCTAAGATCACCTCCATGCATCTCTAGAAGTTGAATGACAATGAAAGGCAGAGCACTTTTAATTTTATTATTTTTGTTTTATGTGTATGCATGTATTGCCTGCATGTAGGTCAGTGCACCCGTGTGGTGCAATGCCCGGGGAGGTCAGAAGAGGATGTCGGATCCCCTGGGACTGGAGTTAACGGGCAGTTGTTAGCTGCTGGGTGCTGGGATTCGCGGTCTTCTGTAAGAACAGCCAGTGTTCTTAACTGCTGAGCCATCTCTCCAGTCCCAGGCAGAGCACTTCTTAAAGACCACCCTCAGCTATGCATGGTGGTACACTCCAGAGGGAGGCAGGAGGAAGCTGCAAGACAGGCCAGCCTGCCATAGTGAAACTCTGCCTCAAAGAAACAACAAAAAAGGGAAGCTGGAGAGATGGATCAGTGGTTAAGAGCAGAGGACCTGGGTTCGATTCCCAGCACCCACATTGGCGGCTAACCACCACCTCTCAACTCCAGGTCCAGGGGATCCGGCATCCTCTTCTGGCCTCCAGGGGCACTGCATGCACATGGTATGCCTACATACATGCATACAACATAAAATTTTAAGAAAAAAAGGCACCCTCGTGTTGAGAGCAGCGTCCTCACCTGCAATTCTGCAGGGGGCTGTGGGGAGACGCCTCGAGACCTGACAAACGGGGACACTGGCAACCAAAACAACATTCTAGCTATGCTGCATGACCCTGGCTTCGTAAAGGAGGCCTAGCATATTTCGAGGGCTGCGGCATGTGGCCAAGGAAATGAGGGACAGGACGCCAGGCGAACCCCCCACACACACACACACACCGGGGACGGGGACAGCGCACTCACTCTACAGGCAGAGCGACGGGCTCGGCCGTGACTCTGGACTCCAATTCTGCAATCAGATCCAGCTTCCATTTCCGACGCTGGACCTGCAGAACCAGGCGTGAGTTGGGCAGAGAGCCGTGGGGTCAGGGCCACCCGGATGGACAGGCCTCACCTGCCAAGTCCCCAGGCCAAAGGCGGCGGCGGGGATGAGCAGCAGGGCCCACTGTAGGAAGGAGTCCTCTTCGGCCCTGGCTTCCGCCGCGGAGCTGCTCCATCGGCCAGGACCCGGGGCCAGCCCTGGAGGCAGGTTTACAGCCCTGGCCTGCGGGGAGAAGCCCTGCAACGACAGGACCCGAGAGGCCTGTCCTCAGAACTGGGAAAGGAGCACCTCGACCAACTCAGCCCAGCACCACACCCGGAGACCAGGAGTGTCGGCCGCGCCGTCGGAGCCCTGGACTGCGATGCGGGGGGCGCCCAGGAGGGCGGGGGACCTAGGAGCCCAGAGACCCGGGGTCTGCGGACGGGGCGGGCTGGGCTCCACGCCAACGCCAGCGCGCGGCTCGGGCCCACCCGTGATGCCCGAACCCGAGCACCCAGCCCCGCGCCATTCCGGGCTCCGTTCTCCCGGACTCCCGCGCCCCCCAGGTCCCCGCACCTCCCCGGGCTCGGTCCTCCCGTCCGGCTCCTCCCAGGGCTCCATCATCCCGGGCTCGGTCGTCCCGGGCACCCCGCTCCTCCAGGCGGCGCGCTCACCCGCCAGGCGCACGGCCACCAGGCCGCCCGCAGCCCCAGCCGCAGCCGCTGCACCGCCGCAGCCCTCACAGCAGCCATCTGCGAGCACTTCCGGGACGGCGAGTGCGCTTCCGGGACGGCGAAAGCGCTTCCGGGACGCCGCCCTGCCCCATACGGTCCGCAGCACTGCTGGCGTCGTTCACCATGGGCGAAGCCCCCGCGGATGTGCGGGCCTTCCTGCGCCAGCACCCCAGCCTGCGGCTGCTGCCCGGCGCCTGCAAGGTCCGCACGACGGGGCCGGGAGGACGGGAGACGGGGATCCGGGGGAGGACGGGGACGGGAGGACGGAAGACGGGGACCCGGGGGAGGACGGAGACGGGAGGACGGGAGACGGGGATCCGGGGGAGGACGGGGACGGGAGGACGGGAGACGGGGACCCGGGGGAGGACGGAGACGGGAGACGGGAACCCGGGGGAGGACGGACACGGGAGGACGGGAGACGGGGACCCAGGGGAGGACGGGGACGGGGACCCGGGGGAGGACGGAGACGGGAGACGGGGACCCGGGGGAGGACGGACACGGGAGGACGGGAGACGGGGACCTGGGGGGAGGACGGGGCCGGGAGGACGGGGACGGGAGACGGGGACCCGGGGGAGGACGGCGACGGGAGGACGGAAGACGGGGACCCGGGGGAGGACGGCGACGGGAGGACGGGAGACGGGGACCCGGGGGAGGACGGGGACGGGAGGACGGGAGACGGGGATCCGGGGGAGGACGAGGACGGGAGGACGGGAGACGGGGGCCCGGGGGAGGACGGGGACGGGGACCCGGGGGAGGATGGAGACGGGGACCCGGGGGGAGGACGGGACCGGGAGGACGGGAGACGGGGACCCGGGGGAGGACGGGGACGGGAGACGGGGACCCGGGGGAGGACGGCGACGGGAGGACGGAAGACGGGGACCCGGGGGGAGGATGGGGACGGGGAGGACGGGAGACGGGGACCCGGGGGAGAGGATGGGGCCGGGGAAGACGGGGCCGGGAGGACGGGAAACGGGGACCCAGGGGAGGATGGGTACCAGGAGGACGGAGAGGACAGGGGAGGACGGGATCGGGAGGACCGGAGACGGGGACCTGGGAGTCGGGGAGGAGTGTGCTGGGCAAGCCAGGGGGTGAGAACCACCTCCTGACCGGCCGGCGGTCCCCAGGTGCGCTGCTCCCTCACAGGCCACGAGCTGCCCTGCCGCCTGCCCGACCTGCAGGTCTACACCCAGGGCAAGAAGTACCAGCGGCTGGTGCAAGTCTGCCCTGCCTTTGACTACGCGGAGTTCGAGCCTCACGTGGTGCCCAGCACCAAGAACCCGTACGTAGTTGACCCCTGCCCCCTGCGATGCAGAGCCTCCCACCCCCTCCGGTGCTGGAACACCCTCCCAGACGCTGGGACCAAGTGGTGGACCATCCCCAGCAGATCTTCAGTGTGTTCCCAGGGAGCCCACAGACCAGGGTCGCTCATGGACTGTGCCTGGATACGGCCCCATCTCTGTGCCCGCAGGTACCAGTTGTTCTGCAAACTCACCCTGAGGCACATCAACAAGTCCCCAGAGCATGTGCTGAGACACACCCAGGGCCAGAGGTACCAGAGAGCTCTGCAGAAATGTAAGTCACCGAGGGGCCACCCCAGAGGCTTAGGCCTGGGGTTCCTGCCCACTCCCCAAGGATGGGGAGCACTGCCTTAGGGCAGGCCTTGGTCATCCTTTGTGGATCTTGGTTGATGCACTGACAGGTCCTGACAGGGGAGGAGAGGGAGAGGGACATCCGCCCCTGACCTCACAGAAGGTTGTGTAGACCGCAAAGCCAGAAGCAGGCTGGGAAGGAGCTGAGTAGCGGGGAAGAAAATTCTGAGAAAGTGCCTTTGGGTAGCTGGGAGAGTCCAGGGTGGGTCCTGAGGGCTCCCAGGTTGAGCTGGAGAGCCAGTGCTCCAGGTAGAGGACAGGTCCGTGATCATCTGGTCATGCTGTGGGAACGAGCATTCAAATGTGTGTAGACTCCGGTGCAGAGGGACTTGCAGCTAATAAGGGTTTTGGCTTCGGCCGGGAGGGGGCTTGCAGACAACCTCAGGTGTCTGAGACATTCCTCTGAGTGCTGGACGCTAAGGTGTGAGTGGTAGATTTTCTGGGCAGAGTGGAGACTCCTGTAGCGTTGTAAATCCCAGGTGGCTTTAGGGAGAGGAACTGGTGCTCAGGCTGTGCAGATGACCCTTACCAGGCCAGAGGTGCTCTCCTGAGAGTTGACAGAGGGCCAGTTTGAGCACCTGGGAGGTGGGCAGGAAAGTGGCTGAGATTTTTGTGTGTCTGTGTATTGCCTGCATGTAAGTACACCCATGCATGTGATGCCCGCAGAGATCAGAAGAGGCTGTCAGATCCCCTGGAACTGAGAGTTACAGACAGTTGTTAGCTGCCATGTGGGTGCTGGGATTCAAACCCAGGTCCTCTGCAAGAGCAGCCAGTGCACTTAACTGCTGAGCCCATGGAAAGTGACTGAGATTTGATAGCTCAGAAGCCACTGGTGACCCTGACTAAAGGATCCTGGGCTGTGGTGGAATACAAGCAGGCAGGGCCAGACCTCGGCGTGGAGGACTTGGGGGTGTGGTAGAGGCTGGGGTGGGTTGGGAGGAGCCTTCATGGACTGCCTCAGTCCTGCCTCTAGGTAGATGCCAGTTGGGGTGGGAAGATGGAGCACACCAGTCAGCTCCACGCCGCACAGCCAGGTTCTCTCACCCTCAAGTTCCTAGAGCTGGCACCTGGGCCACACGGACAAAGGCAGCAACCAGGGCTTGGGCATGCTTCATCCAGCTGCTGGGGAGGGACAGAAGGGAGAACCATACATAGAGCTGAGAGGAAGCTGCTACAGGGCGGCTGTCTGGAGCTGGGGTGGCCGAGTAGCCTGTTGGAGGCACTGTGAGACTGCGTGCTGGCATCCCACAGTGGCTCTGGGAGCAGGTAACAGGAAGTAGAGAAAGGACCCTAGAGATAGCAGAGCAAGCAGTGCCATCAGATGCCAAGGCCTGGCCAGCCTTGTCTACTCCATGAAAAATGCTGAGAGGGTCAGGCAACAGGCACGGATGTCCCCCACCCCAGGAGGAATTGGTGCCAGATCAAGTGGGGAGCCCCAGGAGCCCAGACCCTAAGTACCTGAGGGGACTGCAGTGGTAACCTTAGCAAAGGCTTTCCACAAAGCCTCATCCCAGGACCAGGCAGGCAGTCTCTACTGAGCCTCACCAGGGTGCATCCCCACAGCACTCGGGGGGACCCCTCAGTCGGCTAGTGACACGTCGGCACTGCCACAGGCCCATCCTCCTGCTGGAGCCCTGGTCCTTGTCCAGGAGGGTGGGGACATGGAGCCCTGGCACAGTCCATTCCCACAGCTTAGCTCTGCACCAGGGGGTAGGCAGCAGCAGTGGGGCCTACTTGTCTCCTCTACTAGATGAGGAGTGTCGGAAGCAAGGTGTGGAGTACGTCCCCGCCTGCCTGCTGCAAAAGAGGAGGAAGCGGGAAGACCAGATGGACGGGGATGGGCCACCCAACCGGAGAACAGCTTTCTGGGAGCCGGCATCCAGTGATGAGGAAGGAACCTTGAGTGACGACAGCATGACAGACCTGTACCCACGTAAGCAGGCCCTGGGGGCTGCTGGCCTCAGTTGTGGAAGGTGGTGCTTTACTGTGGTGTAGCTCAGTCAGATACCTGTTCCTTCCAGCCGAGCTGTTCACCAAAAAGGACCCGGATGGGCCCAAGGACGAGGACAACCTTCTAAAGGACCTAGAAGATGACACTCCAAGGCCTCCAGGAGAGGGCACTGGGGAGAGGAGGGAGATGCAAGTGGACCACAAGCGGGGCCAGAAACACCCGAAGGTGAGGAGGAAGGTGTCTGGGGTGGCTCCAGGCTAAGGCTGGACAGCCAGTGCTCCACGTGGTTTTTGGGTTAAGGGGCGGGGGTTGGTTATTTTTTAATTCTTCAAGTGCAATTTCAGGCAACAGCCTGTAATTAAAATAGAGGTGGCTACTGATGACCTTATCTTGACCTCTGGCCTCCCAGGCCTCGGCTGGGGTGTCTGTGTCCCCTGCAGCAAAGGAATCCAGAGGAAGGGCCTTAGCTTTGGGGCACCACCCTCCCTCTGAGGCAGGAGTGAGGGTGGAGCTGGAGGGGTCAAGGTCTGCCCTCCTCCCACTAACCCAGCACAAGGGGAAGGGAACTGGTGAGAAGGCGATTTGATTTTCAGTCAGAACGTCCGGCACCTTCCTGTGGAATTGCAGAGGCTCTGGTGACACTTCTCTTTCACAGAAGCAGCTTGGCTCCTTGACCAAGAAGTTCAAGAGCCATCACCGTAAGCCCAAGAGCTTCAGCTCCTTCAAGCAGTCAGGGTGATGAAAACCTCAAGAAAGCCTACGGGTGTCTTTGGAGCTGTCCGCTTGCATCCTGACGTTGGCTGTTGCGAAGGTGGCAGCGGCAGGAACTTGGGACTCCTGATGGACGGTCTTCAGTGACACTTGGCAGGGCTCACTGCAGCATCCTGAGCCTGGCCCGGCCCCCACTCTGGCTGGCCCCATGGCTGGTCACCACATTAGGACCACAGTACATACCACAAATGCCATTATTTATTTTGATGTTTCCAAAAATCAGAACATTTTCAAACACAACTAAGATATAAAATACAGCATAAAAATGAGATTTATACCTATTCCCACATAAAGCAAAAGCATTTTCAGAAATTTTTTGCCAAACCAAAATGTGGATCATTTTTTCTCCCATCCTAGGCACCAGCCCACTGAGGGCTGGGCAGGAGACAGGGCCCCCTTGGCATGGGGGCCACTGCTCTTGGGCACATACTTGCTTCCCAGGGTCTGCCTCACTCCAAAAACTGGAATGTCACTGCAGGTAACAGAGCAGGTGATGTACAAAGGCAGCCCTAACTGGAGCTGCTCAAAGATAAGATCCCATGGCCTCAGCGCACACAGCTCAAGTGGGGATGAGGGGGCAGGCCATAAGGCTGCAGGACACGGGCAGGGCAAGGTGAATCCCACCTGCAGAGCTAGTGGGGAACTGGGAGAGGGGGCAGGATTGGCCCAAGGTGACCCAGAGGACATAGTCCTGCCCACCCAGCAACTGATGCCAGAACAGATGGCCCTCCAGGTCTCTGCACCCAAAGTTAAGGTGAGCAGTCAGCTTCCCTCCAGGAGTTTTTGGGCTGAGTCTGTTCCTCCAGTGAACCTTGGGGAGACCTAGAGGGCGAGCCCAATACCCTCCTGGCACTCCGTGAAGACGTGCAGGGAACCACAGCATTAGATACCCCCAAAAAGAAACACAGTGTAAGGCAATGTTAGAAAACTTTAAATACAGGATCAAGATCAAATCGGTAAGGCATCACAAATCGTAAAAAGTAATCTTGGCTGCGTTCAGCATAGCAAATTGACAAAAATCTGAGCAAGCCTCAGCCTCGGGAACAGCGTCAGGGTTGTCCACAGGGGCAACCCAACCTGGACAGGGAGCTAGCTGGGTGGAGCCTGGCCTGGGGTGTCCAGGCCTTGCTCTGAGAAGGTCAAGTGTGAGGTAACTGGGTTGGACCTGGGGATCTTGAGAGCTGGGGCCTCTCCCCAGGCTGGTTCCATGGCGGTGGCTGTCCTATGAGCCACTTCCTTTCCTGCCCTTCCCACTGCCAGGCCTAGGGACAGCAGTGCCCAGATCAGCAGCTTCTCCGAGGAGTGCCACCCCTGTGGCCTGGAGCCGTGGGAACCCCCAAGGCATCTTCCACCCAGTAAACAGCACCCAGCCAGCTGATGGCAACGACTTGGCCAGCAGTGGCGGCCATCCCTCACACTGCACTGCTCTCTGGTTTGGGCTTCTCTCTTCACTGATCCTACCAGATAACACAGGGCAGAGCCAGCACTGGAGCCCCGGGCAGGACTCTGGGCCAGAGTTAACAGGGTTTGATGCTTGGCTGGACCACCCTCGATCATTTAGTAGTGTGAACTAAGAACGCAAACTTAAAAAAGTAGGCGGGAAACGGCTCTGAATGACACACAAGAGTCTGCTCGGTGCAGCTTGAAGGCCCTCACCCCCTAAAAGGAACTCGGAGACAGGCCTGAAGCCACAGCCTACCACTGTTCACTCCAGCCTTGCCTGAGGAGTGAGGTCCAGCTGGCTGGCCCTGGACAGATTCCGAATGGGTTCCAGAGCAGATTTTACCATCAATTTTCAGGTGTCTGCAAATAAAGTTCTCAAAACATCGGTGCCTTTACCAAGGGAGGGGGAGGGAAGAGGACAGTCCTCCAGGGCCTTGAGCCTCGGCCAGGGAGGGGAAGGTCTGTTACCACTCTTTCTTCTTCTCATCCATGGAGACGCCCCCCGGGCCAAGAGCCACCACCAGGAGAAGGCCTCCAATCACCGACATGGTCTGGAAGAAGTCGTACTTCAGGAAGTCATGCATGGGTTTATAGACTGGGATGGTCCAGAAGGCGTTGAAATACACGTTGATGGCGAACAGCCAGATGACAAGCGTCAAAGCCGCCAGCTTGGTTTTAAAGCCAATGGCCACCAATATCATTAGAGCTGTGCCCACAATGTTCTGGATGATCTGCACAGGTGGAAAAGAAAGACAGACTGGGGGTCAGGAGAAAGCTGTGCGCATTCACCTGTGCCAGGCTGATGGACTGGCTGAGTGGTGAGGTCCGAGACCACAGGGAGAGGGAGCACATAAACCAAAAATCAGTGTCTGTTTTGGAGGGTGAGGGGAGAGACTCTATCAATACAAGACACCAAATTCCTCGAATTCTATATTAACAGTGCTACGGCTTTAATGTGCTCCCCAATCCCGTGACTGGTGTTTGCACGGTAGGACTTCAGGAGGTGCTTAGGCCAGGAACAGAGTGATCACTGATGAATCTATGATTCTCACCATGTGACACCCGGTATTCCCTTGATACTCTGCAGAGCCCTGAGCACCAATACCAGGCACCCTGAACTCGGGCCTCCAGAACCACGAGTGGGATTCGGTTACAGCGAGAGGAGATGGATCAAGATGACTAGTGCTGAGAAGCGAGGCTGTCGTCGCACAAGCTCCTGACTGGCAGCACTGTGGAACTGGGCAGAGTCAGAAGCTGGAGGAGCCGCTAGAAAAGGCAGGTGCTCTCAGAGAGGAGTGGCCAGGGAAACTCTGGGAAGGGCTGAGAACCTTTAGTTCTCAGTGGCTGTGGCCAGGACTCCAACTGCCACAGGAACGGCAAATGTGGAACAAGGGATTGTCACGAAGTTGCAGTGCACCTGGCTGCACCTTGCCGTCCCCACAGGGGCCTGGGAATCCAAAGCTTACACCTGGCAGAAGCAGGCTAGCGGTGGTCGTGCACCCACCAGCACCCACGTCCACCAGCACACAGCTACTCTGATCTTGACTGCTCAATGAAATGAGGGCACAAATACTGAACTTAGGACAAGGGAAATGAAAATTCTCAGGTGGCCACACGGTAGAGGGTGAAAGGTGGTTCTCAGGGCTTCTCCATGGAGCCCAGGTCAGCCTTGAACTTAGGATCCTCCTGCCTCTGCCTCCCAAGGCAAGGGTTTCAGGCTTGTGCCACATCTGGCCAAGCAACACTTTCATTTAAGGTTTATTTGTATTTGTGTGGCCGTGTACATGCTGGCAGATGGGGGTGGGGCGGGCGCACAACTGTGTGCATGTGCAGAGCCCAGCAGGGCGCTGAGCACCCTCTATCACTCTCCAGCCACTCCTCTCTGAACCTAGGGCTCAGAGCTCAGAGTAGAAGCCAACAAGCTCCAACAATCCTTTCTGCCCTCTTCAAAGGTGGGTCTACAGGCACTGTGAGGAAGCCCAGCCTGTTACTTGGTGCTGAGATTTGAACTCTGGTCCTCATGACTGCAGAGCAGCTGCTCTTAACCATGGTGCCATCTCTCCAGCCCTCAAGCAACATCTTTAGAGTATAAAAGGTCAGGGAAAGATTGGGGTTGATTTGCCGAGACCAGCTGCAACCTTCACCTGATGGTTCGCCTACGCGTTACCTCAGAGAACTCTGTTCATCCAGACCTACCCCCAGCCACCCAGACCACAAACACCCTAACCCTCTTGCCAGCTCTGCTTCTAGCATGTGACATGCCAAAACAGCACGTACTGGGCAACAGGGTGAACCGTGAGGAAGACGCAAACTCAGAGGAGCCTACAGTGGCCCCTCCATGGCCAGACCCTTCCCTGGTACAGAGATGGATGAGGTTCATTGTCTGAATGGGAGCACCTCCTCAGGCTGTGCTCGGACTCCACTGGGCTGCCGAGCTGGCACGGAAATACTCACAGAAAAGAAGCTGGCATCGAAGTGCAGGAGCGTCATGAACATCAAGACCAGCAGGACCCTGCCCCCAAGCTGCATGTACTGCCTGGGGGAGCTCTCACGCATGGTGGGGACACCAGCGAACATGCTCTTTCCTTCCGAACGGGATTCCGCCAAGAGCAGCAACAGACCTCCTCCCAAGGCCAGGTTCCTGAGAAACAGAAATGCCAGCTTACATTCATCAGCATCCATCCACCAGGCCAGACCAAGGAGATTCTGGCACACTCACAGCAAGGTCCTTATTTCCCTTTCTCTAAACCAAGTCACTACTCGGCAGGACCAGGCAGAACTTGGTACGAAGGGCCAGCCTCAGGTTGAACCAACAGCAGCAGGCTGCCTGGATACACACAGAACCAACTCTGGTCTCCACTCTGACTGGGACCCCGAGTCCATACACCCGTGTACTGTGGGATCGGGAGAGAGGACTCCTCGCTCCTGAGCCAGGGCTCCAGCTATGGGGAAAGCCCTGCAGTACCCACTGACCCACAATGGAGACCAGGAGAAGGGCTGCACTTGCCGGCAGGGCTGGGCCAGAGGGCGAGGGCACCACTCCCGCCATCCACAAGCACCTACCTCATCAGAAACTTCAAGTCCCACAAAATGCTGTAGGCGATTGTCTGAGGGGACAGGGAGAGAAAACAGCATTGTCAGGCCGATTTCTATCGATTTTATAATAGTACGAGGCAGCTTGTTCAACAGGATGAGAACAGAAAATACAGAAAACCACAGGACACTGAGGACAGGGAGGGCCAACAACATGGCTCAGTGTTTCTAACAGTGCAGTGTGGCCCCTGGGCCCGTCTGTCAGGGTTGTGCTATACTGTCCTGGAGTACAAAGTGACTGCAAGACCAGCAGTGCAGCTGAATATTCTGCCTAAGCATTTCATTGGAGTAATTAGACGTTCCTATTAAGTGCAGTGACTCCCAGCTCACATGCACCGCAGCCACTCTGTGACCTGTATCTCTGTCACAGCAAACTCATCAAAGTAGAAAAGTGACCTAGGACCTAGCGCTAGCATCTACTGAGGGCCAGCCTCAATGGCCTGCCAGAAGGGAAGGCTAGCCACTTCCCCCCAAAGGAAAGGAGTTCTGGGCAACCAGACACACAGCTGGAAGTGGGGAGGACACTGAACCTGACACTCAGCTCCATCAAAGCAAGGGAAAGAGACCCACGCTATGCCCATGCACACCAGCGCTACGATCCCAGGATGAGGCTTGCTGGGTACCGCGTACCTGCAGTGCAATGATTCCAAATAGCCCAAAGCAGGCGTACTGCACGAAGTTCCTGCTCAACACCAGGACGCAGCCAGCTAAAAAGAAGACAGCAAGAGTCAGGGAACCGAGGTGTGTACACACCAGAGTGACAAGGGCTCCACTGGGGACACTGGCCTCTGGTCCAGCTGCAGCAGACCAGAGATACTTTGTGACAGGGAAGGCCTACACCCATGAGCTACCTGATGTGATCAAAACCCTAGTCCAAGACCAGGCATGGTGGCGCACGCCTTTAATCACAGCACTCGGGAGGCAGAGGCAGGCGGATCTCTGTGAGTTCAAGGCCAGCCTGGTCTACATAGTGAGTTCCAGGACAGCTGGGGCTACAGGGAGACCCTGTCTCAAAAAGACCAAAAAAAACCTAGTCCAGACTGTGATGTTTGCTGTGGAGAGCAGGCCATTTCCCAGTGCCAGAAGCCTACCAGCATCTGGCTGCTCTACTGTGGAGAGCGTCCAAGTGTGAAAAGCACAAAACTCTTTATCACACCCTACCATGCAAAGGAGGGAGAACTGCTACAGAAATGCTTTGTCAAGAGCAGAAGACAGACCTGAGGCCAGTGCCCTGGTTCCATGCTGACTTCAACCCTCTGTCCTTTCTAGACACCACCCAGGCTCCAACATCTCCTTTGTGGGACATTTACAAGCAGGGACTGTGTCCAAGTTCTACGGCAAGCTTCAAAGCAACGAACACAGGACTGGCGCCCAGCACCCATCCAAAGCACAGAGCCACACCCCGGCTGACCCTCATGGTCACACACAACTTCTCAGTGGCCCACAACATGTCCTTTGGCAGTGGCTCTCAGGGACCAGGAAGCCTCGGGAGAATCTGGGAAAGGCTGCAGCACGCACTCAGCTGTCCGAGCAGGTTGAGGAGCACAAAGGACGAGGCCAGCAGGTAGCCGCAGCTCCAGGTGGAGTCAATGTAGTCACGCTGCTCGCTCCACTGGAACCACATGCGGATGCCATCCTCCAGGAAGGTGCTGATCAGGCAGAGGCGTGCCACGTGAGGCAGGTACTGCTTGGTGACTCGCAGAAACTGCAGGGCAAGAGAACATACTGGTGAGGCAGCTGCAGCCCGGAGCTCCTAACTGTGGCCAGCCCTTCCCTGGGCAGATTTGGACCTCCACACCTACTCTAGTGCTCCCAGTAAGACAGTCCTGACTCAGTCCCAGAGACAAAAGACCCAGCATCACATGCACCTGGCAGACCTCAAAGGCATGGGGCATCCCCAACTCTTCTACCAAGGCTCCTCCACCACCTCCACAGCCGTGTTTACGAGCAACTGTCACCCCAAAGGAGACTTGCCTCAAGACATGGCTTCCACACTCAGTGAGAGCACAGATGGACACCATCTGAGAGGCTCTAAGGGTGGTCTAGCTCAGGGCTCCACATCACCGAGGCCCCCTGGTGTCCAGGGCTGCCCCAGGCAGTGCAGGCTGCAGAGCCACAGAGCATCCCTGCCTTCCACACAAGATACCACAAGCAGCACTCAACCATGGAACCAAAATGCCTCTGCTGTTGCCACATTTCCTACCCCAAGATCCCTCCAGAAAGTTCAATATCTAGTGGACAGCTGAGGTCCAGAAGATGCACAGCTGTGACTACCCACTAGAAAGCACTGGGAGATGGGCCTGAGGTGGTGGAGGTGCACACCTCTGATCTCAGCACTCAGGAGGCAGAAGCAGGTGGATCTCTGTGAGTTCCAGGTCAGCCTGGTCTACAGAGTGAGTTCCAGGCCAGCTGGGGCTACAGGGAACAAGGTAGAAACAGCCTGACCTGTGAGGTGGAAGGCAGGTGTCAGGTTGCCAGCAAAGGGAAGCAGTTTGAAATCTGCTCACAGCTCCCTTCCATCCTGTCCCTGTGGAGATGGCACCTGACAGCTTCAGGAAGCCAGCATGGCCCTGCTGAAGCCAGGTGCAGATGCAGGCAGATGCACTCCAGGCTCTTCCCTCTTACCACCCTTCAGAGCTCAGCAGCATGGTGACAGAAATTCAGGATAACATGGAGGCCCAGGAGAAAGATCAGCTACCCACCTACAGACTGACGTGTCAGGAAGAGTCTAAAGGGCAGAGTCTGGCCCAGGGCGGCTGAGTGAACATGGCTGTGCAGCCCGCATAGGCTGACTAACCCTGTTGCTGAAATAGGTGGGGATGTGTGTAAGGACTGTTCTTGAATTCTCAGCATTCGAAACGCTACTTCAAAGCTCAGAACACCCACTAGAGCTGCCATCTCAGCTGAGGACCTCCTGATCAGCCCTCAGTCCGTGGAGGGCACCCAGGCCCAGTTGGTGTCCTGGGCAGGTGGGTGCCCAGGCTTGGCCTGGCTTGGTCAGCAGTGCAGACAGGTTCCATGTGGCGCTGAGAGCAGGAAAGGCCACAGTGTGGATGCCCATGCCCTTCAAACCCACAGTCTGGCCCTGGTGTCAAATGGCACACGCTTGCTCAGCCCACTGAAGAGACAGCAGAACCCACACCAACAGGCAGCAATCGGAGGGTCGGAGCACAGGTACTTGGAGGCCACGAACTCTTACCTGTCTAGGACTGTAGCAGGTTGAGTTACTCTGAGGGGGCAGCGGAGCAGGGGGACCCTACCCCTCTACAAGCAAGGACAGCTAGTTACTAAGATTTTTTCAAACTACATAGTCTAAAACTGTCAGCAGCAATAAAAAAGACATTTTAAAGAGGAAGCAGGGCTGTGGTCTCACCTCCTAGGGAGGCTGAGGCAGGAGGATCATCTGGGCCTTGGCAACACAGAGGCCCCACCGTACAATAAATGAAAAAGGAAAAGAGGTCCCAAATACGCTTGAGTTTAAGGGCCCCTAACAGAAGTCATGCAGGTGATCAGGCTCCAGAGGGTGTAGACATCCAGAGGGTGTGGACCCTCAGGCAGCCAGCAGACACTGGAGGTGTTCCGACTTGCTTCCAAATGAGAACCACTCCCCAACACGATTACACTGCGGCCCTGCTGTGGTCTGCTCCTCCCTCAAGAACTTCACCACGCATGCCGCAGTGCTGGAAGCACACCCCAGCACAGTCCTTAACACACAGCGGCGAGACCGAGGCCATGTTTAAAGCTTCCCGACAAGTCTGCTACCCTAATTGGAAGTGTCTGGGTCAAGAGAATTAAAAAGAAGACGGCGTGAGGGAGGGATGGGTAGCACCTCCCTTCCGCCAGCGTGGCTGGGAGAGCGACACAGCACTTCACTTTGGGGGAAGGTGCAAAACTGCAAGTACATGTGGAGAACTAAGCACATCTGCCGTCTGGCTCTGACTCCAAAGGCAAGTGCAATCTGACTATGCCGAAGGGGGGGGCAGCCAGCCCTGCCTTGATGAGCATCTGAAAGGCCAAGTTTAACAACGTCAGACTCCGCTCCACGTACAGGTGGGACACAACTGTTCACATTGTCCCCTGGGCTCACATCATCATGCAAAGCGTTCCCACAGCCAGTGTCGGAGTCCCTAACTCAGGCAGTACAAGTGCAGGTCGTGTGTACAGGCACTGCCACTGCCAGTGTCCCTCCCATCAGCATGGCTTGTGCTGGTCATGAACACCCTAAGCACAGAAACGCCATGAGCATGGCCCTCATCACAGAACCTGGGAGAGCTAGCGGTGGACACGGTAGGGAGAGCTGGTGAAGACAGAGATGACCGTCGGCCCACAAGCCTCACAACCAAGCAGGTCATGACTCATAGGCAGCACAGCATTCCAGTGGCTTAAGAAATGAGGAAGGCTACCAGGCCTGGTGGCGCACACCTTTAGTCCCAGCACTTGGGAGGCAGAGGCAGGCAGATCTGTGTGAGTTCGAGGCCAGCCTGGTCTACATAGTGAGTTCCAGGACAACTGGGGCTACAGGGAGACCCTGTCTCAAAAAGACCAAAAATAAATAAATAAATGAGGAAGGCTTAGGTCTGTCTCTGGGGGCTACCATTTGAGAGGACTGAGGGGGTTTAGGACATAATCCTATCTGTCCTGAGACAGGACCCAAGAAACACAAAGATCACAAAGCACTGGACAGAACATCAACCTCCTTTCCATGCTCAGGACTGAGAGGAATCCAGGCCAGCAGCCTGCTCTCAGTGAGAGCTCTGAGGAAAAGGTGGGCCAGATCTCCTTGGTCACAGGACAGTAGATGTGCCCTGGTCAAGGGCCCACAAGCCCAGGAAATGAGAGCCTGTACCATCCTCCATCGGGACGGCAGGGTCAGCACAAGTTTGGTGACTCACCTCAACCCTAGAACCCCTAGCAAGTGTCCCTCCAAGCACAGCTCTGTAGTTTCCTGCTGTACCACAGGTACAGGAGATGGTGTTAAAGGCCCTGAGCCCAAGACGGCTGCTTCCTTTCCTAAAAACCACAGTGGTAAAAGAGCCCTCACAAGAGGGGCAAGGGCTGGAACTGTGTTCCGGGAGCCACTAACCAGTCTCCATGTCACTAGCCCACTCCCCGGAAGGGGATGCAGTTTAACCTCCAGTCCAGAGGAGCAAGCAGGAAACTGAGTCAACTCCCCACTCCTCAGTAGCACAGGGCGGGTGCCCCAAGGGGTGACAGCACAGGAAAGGGAAGGGAGGCTCAGAGGGCCTAGCACCACAGGACCCTCACAGAGGCCAAATGGCCAGCCAGGGGTGTGGTGTTAATCCCAAAGTCAACCAACACACCAGGTGAGGGGAACCTCATCAAGACCAACCTGGTACCACCTGCTTCCAGGGAGGCCCAGGCTGGCTCCCCTTGGACTCGTTCTGTCACTTTTGACAACAGGTCAAAACACCAAAGACCATGCCTGTGAGGGCCACTCAGCCTTCCTGTCACCCTGGTGACCGCCATCAGGCAGAGCCCATTAACACTAGTGTTCCTGGTGTGAACACACCTGGAAGCTGCTCTACCACCTGTCTAGCCTGAAGCAGCAGCCATGACTTTGGATAACCGAATCCTTGGCTCTTCCCACCTGGTCTCTGATGGCATCTAAATGCCCACCTCTGCAAAGAGTCTTCCTAGTAGCAAGAGGACACTGGTCCTGGCTGCCAGAGGCAAGGAGTCTGATGCCAGGGAAGAGACGCAACTCTGTGGAAGCCAGCCAGCAGAGCCCCAGCAGGTTACTTCCTTTGAGCCAGCCTCCACACAAGGAAAGGTCATGTTCCCCCATGAAGGGGGGGGGCGGGGGCGTGCCACCTGGGTAACAAGAGCAGAGCCGGGCAGACCATGGCAAACCGTGCTGTGCACCTGGGAAGATGCAGCCTCGATGATCAGCCTCAGGGAGATAGGGAGGCCCAGGCAATGCCTCAGTATGGCTGTCACCACTGTCAGAGACACTTTTCTAGGTCTCAGGTAAGCAACCCAGACTTTCTGGGCAAATCCGGTAACTTTTACTTTTGTTTTCTAAAGACAAGGTTACACAACATGGATGTGTCACACTACCTGACAGTGACATCAGACGTAACTCCTCACTGTCTATACATTAGATCTTCTCACCTAGAAACCTTCCTTACCAGCAGCTCTGTATTAAACACTGCAGGAGAGTATTCAATACAAAAGCTCCCTGAGATGAGTCACACCTGGGCCACAGGAAAGTAACCCTGTGGCTTCGCTCCCCAAGCCCTGCTCACAGGAGGCACAGACCAGCAGCCCTGATTCAGAACAGCAAGGAGTCACACTCCCCAGCTGCACAGCCTCTGCCAGACTCATGGAAGCTCCTGTGACAGCCTCTGCTGCCCTCCAGGTGGACTGGGATGTGTGAGCCCTGTCAGCAGGAACCCTTCTCACTGGGCTTTTCTTGGGAAGCAGCTGGCTGTAGCATAGGTCCAGATCACGTGTATCCAGAGCAACTGGGGACCTTTATGAAGCTGCCCAGGGAAGCAGTTGAGGGTTGGAGACCCAGTTTCTTCCTAGGCTGCTGCCCATGGAGACTCCGGGAGCCTGAGCTGATCCAGCTTCCCCTAAAGCTCCTGAGGAGGTGGGTACTGTTACCTGTCCAGTCCTAAGACTTGGATTCTTCCACTTAAAGCAAAACAGAACAGATGGAAAAGGGTCTCATGAAGTGAACCTTTCCTCCCATCACTATCACTGGAAGCTGGCAGCTGCTGGAGACCTTTATCTAGGTCTGGTTATGAAACAGGCTGGCAAAACTGAGGGCTCTCCAGGCTGAAGAGCATGTGGACGCAGCCCTCAAACCTCCCTCCACTACAGCTGGCTTCTTAGAGAGCTGCTACTTGGGGGAGATAAAACTGGGTCGCTAAAGTTTAAGTTTATGTCAGTAAAAGATGGCACATGAGGGGCTGGAGAGCTTGCTCAGGGGTTAAGACCACTGACTGCTCTTGCAGAGGACAGGGGTTTGATCCCCAGCACCATGTAGCACACGGTGGCTACAAACCGTCCTTAACTCCAGTTCCAGGGGAATCCCAAGCCCTCTTCTGACCTCCGCGGCATTGCAGGACACGGGTGCACTCACATACATGCAGGCAATACACTCATACACATAAAAATAAGTAAAGTATTTTTTTAAAAAAGGATAGCACATAAAAAAGATCACAGTTCTCAGAACTTTCTGAGGGAAACAATTTTCAGATGTCTTCAACTGCAAAACCAGGACCTCGGGAAACAAGTAAAAGGAAATCGGCTTTAAAATGTCAGCTCAGGGGAAAGGGACTTAACAGAACCGACTGAGAGCAGAGAGCCGCCCCTGGAGGGCAAAGGGCTGCTGGACCCACAACTCCCAGCACACAGGACTTCCGATCCAACGAGCATCAGCCCCAGAAACATTAAAACTTCACTGTCACCACTTACAGCTGGCACAGCTGCAAACCCGTTAGTGAACCCGGGCGGGCCGGAGGAGGGCGCGTAGCACCCGGCCCGCAGCACCGGGCAGCACTCGGCCCGCAGCACTCGGCCGGCAGCGCTGATGAAGGCTGTTTGCTTGTAAACCTAACGGGACACTGGTGAAGTCAGGGGCTCGCACTGAACGACTCCCACCCCATCCTCCAGGTCAAACCACCCAAACGGGGTGCACCTGTGTCGCACCTTCCCGGGCTCCGGCTCGGCCCGTCCCAGGCCCACCCCGCCGCTCAGGGACCCGGGGAAGGACCCGGGGCCAGGCTCGCTCCCGGCGGACAGGCCATTCAACACAGCGGGCAGAGTTCAGGCCGGGGGGAGGGGGAGG